TATCCAATATCTAGTTGCTATAAAGGTTTGATATGAAAATATCGTTACCAATCTTTGATAGTGTTTTTCAGTCTTGCTTCCAAATGTTCCTACAGCAGCTGGACATCCCCTCGTTAACGCAAACAACAATATAGAGACAATTGACAGTGAACATTGCTGAAATGTATCGATTAAGTTTATGCAAAATACCACAAAACCAAAATAAACCAAGAAAAATAAATAATTTTATAATCTAAGTCAATCATGGGGCATGTTTTCGGCCTGCTACTCTTAAACATCATATCTATACATTAGCAGTTTCTCACTCCTAGGTCAACCAATATTCAGTGTCACAGATAAGGCTCCTACGGTTAAACGTTTAAACGGATTCGTTTCGATTTTCATTCCTAAACGTTTACGATATCTTTTACCGTTTAATCGAAATTACCATATTGTCTTACGGAATATCTTAATCATTGCCTGTAATCACGGCTTTTATCAATTCCAATTGGTTTATTCCAAAGTAAAAATGGAAAATGGGTGTTTACAACCTTCCGAACAGCATCACCGTGCAATAATCGCTTGTGGCATAATACATTTTTGGTAAAGTTGATTTTCCTTTGATCTTTCAAAAGAGCGACATTGGGACACAATGCAGAAAATGTGTGCCGACACAATCGTGATGAGCCCTGGACATTATTCATTTGTATATGTATTAAAAATAGAAAGTATGTCATCAATTGCCGACTCGAATACATGGTGTAGTATAGTACATAGAAGTACCACCGTTTAAACGGTATCGTTTCGGTTTTTAGCAATCGTGTAAACGTTTACAGAAAATTGTAAACGTGGGAGCCTTAGTCACAGAGAATTAGTGCTCATTAGTTGCCCGATTAACCAGAATTCTAACCTCGGTGAAATGTAGCATTTGTTGGTAATCTTCTTGCTTAAAGAAAAAGGCAATCTCGTTAAGAAAAGGATTCAACCTGTAACACCCGAAGTAAAGGTTCTACCATGGAACCTTATATTCCTCGTAGAAGCATGTTATTTAACCGTAAAATCAATTTTGCAAAGTACATGTATATTAAAAAAAATACAATACATAAACGAAAGTTTATGTTGATTAGTAATCGAATTAATTTACTTTGTCTACTCTGAAAAAATAGGTAAATAATTCATAGTAAGGCTTAAAACGGTAAGTAAAAGGCAAACAGAATCACATGTTGTTTGGTTCATTGTCAATGAACACCAGATTTGACTTTCGCAATTCCAGTGAAAGTTATTAAAGTCCTTCGGTGAGTTACTTCATGGTAGAAAATCGTTTTCTTCTTGATATACGTAATCTAAAATATACAATGATTAACATTTTTGTGAATAGTCCAAATATATACTTTATGTATTTCTATCATAATTTAATTCTATTGGATTGATTTGGTGTAAGTTCGTTTAGAAATAAAAAAGACAGATGTGAAGAGGCACACCAGTAACAATTAGAAATCATTTTGAATAGATACTTACAATAGCGGAGAGTACAATAGATGGAATGTAGTAATCTACCACATCATCCCCATCTTCACCTCGGGAATATTCCAAACCAAGAGCGAACAATGCGGCGCATATTGCACTCACTATGAAGTGATAAAGAGCCGCCTTGTAAAACTCGTCAAAATATTTGCTGAAAATAATAGATCTATAAAGAATCTGGTTGTAAAATGTGTTGGTAATTTGTCAAGGCGTTTTTCCTTTTACTTTTGTTATGAAATATAGACATTTGTAACCGAAAACCGAATCTGAAACAAATTACACACAAACGCACGCACACACACGATACAAACCAACATTTTTGCGTTCAGAAAATATTCAGAATTTGTGAATTGAAAATTATCAGTATTCATCGTCGTTTATTGAAATAAAACCATACATTGTCACATGTTGCAAAAATTAGAAGTCATTTGCACTGCAAATTGTACTTGGGTTTTAAACAAAACCGCTAATAAGATATACATACTTCGAATCAATTTACAACCGACAATGCTTTTTAATAAAATAAAGTAATGGAATACATTGATATTTTGTTTCACATTTATAAATTATTTGCTACTAAAAGTGACGAAAAAAATAAACTAATCTTCTCATTGTAATAAAAGTTATCAATTTGAAAATAAAACATTTTAAATAAAGATCATTTTAAGTAAAGATCATTTTAATGAAACGCAGATTGGGAAATATAATTAGAAGAAACTGTACATACAACATAGCAACGTCGATATGTTTTATATATTCCTTATTTAAATCTGATTGATTCCATTCACATTTGTAAACTTAAAGTTTGTATTAAGAATAAACATAAATATAGCGACAGGGAAAATATAATTTTAATAACTAGTGGTATATTGTCCTTCAAAGTAAAAGCTGAAATGGCATGTTAAACTTTTGAATGGATTACAGTGAACAAAATATGTATGTACAAGCTTATACATTATGTAAGGTAGAGCACCCCGTATAAATGAAAATATTTTAAGAGTCAAAGTGTATTATAAATATACTCTGGACTTTAATGGGTAACGTTTGCTGTGTAGTTTGAAAAATAGTGATGATTTTGTTCAAACTTGTAGCAGTGAAACAAATAAACATGTATACATTGTATATGTTTCATCAGTTTAAAATGGTTTCTTTATTCGATAAAAACATGTAGTACCATAAAGATTTTAATCATAAATATTTAAAACCAACGAACATGTACTAACTCTTGGTCTCGCACTGATACAAAACAAATGTCTCTTACTAATACGTATAATTTATTCTGGGCGGTCTTTTGAATCGTGTTGCAAATACGAGAAACAAGGGGCGTCCGTAGCCGAGTGGTTAGGGTCATTGATTTTAAACCACTTGCCTCTCAACCCTGCGGATTCGAATCCTGACAGGGACTTTGGTTTCTTTCATGTGAGGAAGCTATCCAGTTAGCTTACAGAACGTCAGTGGTTCTACTCAGGTGCCCGTTCGTGCCTAAAAATAATACACGGAAGGGCATCTGAGGTCTTCTTCCACCAGTAAAGCTTTTATAAAATTTTATATTTGTATATAATTATGTTTCAAAAACAATTTTCAAACATCGAAGAATATGTAAAATATGTACTGCAAATATTTGTCCACATTATATTTAACCATTAAAATATATGTATTCATTTTTCGTAGTGAAAAAAAATGACTTAGACTTAATAGAAAATAAATTTCTAATTACCTCCCTTTATTAACATGAAATGTAATATTCGGTAACTTTATAAATTTCTATCTTGATATTCCCAGACAGTTCAGAAAATTAAAACTTAAAAAGCCATTTCATAAATTCAGCAAGTAATGAATAAGGATTGCAAATCTGTAGTCCGATAGGATCATCACTGTCAGCTGCTCAAGTTCTATATGTTTCTTTCTTACAGCCATCAAATGAACCTTTGTTACAAGAAGGACAAGACGTGCTATGAAAATGCGTAATTGACAAAAAATGTCACAATGCTAGTATCCGCAAGTGTGAAATATATCTTTGAATATATGTTTGAACGCTTAAGTAATAAAAGTTTTAAGGAATCTTGTAATGTTTGGAAAACAGGCAGAAGAATAGGCTTTTAAACTGTGAAAATTTGTAGTACCATTTATTCACAAAAATGCCGTATATTTTGCGTACAAGTAATCAATCAAACATTGGCCAACCACAAACACATTTTAATCTATATAAAGGTGTAAGAAAACAATACAAAATTCATAATCACTATCAAAATACTTTTTTGCAATCGTTTTATATTGTAAATATCCCGAGAAATAAGTTTTACATACACTGTCTCATTCCATAAAGTGTGACGCGGTACATCAAAAGAAAAAAAAGATATATTCTAGCTAGTATTACCATTACGGAAATATGATTTTTCAAAGTCCTCACAATTTCAATACGTTGAACATGTTTCAATTACTTTTTTGTTCCTTGAACAATTTATGTCATCAGTATTTGTAAGGTTGCTGCACTACTAGTTCAGTTTCCGGAAACGCATGTCCCGAATAAAGGCCACTGCGTGAAGGTGGAGTCAAGTTAGCATGTGTTTCTATTCCGGCGGAAATGATGTCATTGTAAGACGGAGGTGGTAGTCGTGGAAGAGCAGGATTTACAGGTTCTAGTTTTACATACTCGTTTTCGTCGTCTGACGAATTGCTTGAAGACGCTAATTTGAAATCTGGACTGTCGGGGACATCGTTTAGTTTGTCGCTTCGTTTATTTTTTAAACTGTTTAACTGAACGACCACTTTGCCAACAATGGAAAGAAGTTTCTTGTTTCTTTTTGGTAAGGGTTTTACGATGTCAGCGTCAGCTCGTTGTAATTTAGGTAAACGTCTTCCTATTAATGAATCATCGTAATATTGCCGCTCTAATCGTGGCGCGTGACTTGCTTTCAAACTTTTGTCGTCTATATTTGCCTTGGTTTCCTTTTTCGGGGCATTCGAATTTCTATTTTCTGTACTGATATTTCTGTTTGGTTTTGGCGTTGGCTTAAAATTCGTTCTCGTTTGCGGTGAAATTCGCGCAGGAAACTGATTGCTACTTTTTTCTCTTGCTGTAAAGATGAAATAAAACGGAACTACGTGTAATATATGTACAACAATAATGATTATGGCGAGTGCGAGATTTACACCAACGTTTATACTATATGAGCACCTGCTCCTGGAGCCATGACATATGCCCGCTGTTCCGGTAATGATTGCTCCAATTAAAGCCCAGAGACAGGAAATTGTGTTCAGGAAAATGTAAACGATTCTCTGAAAACAAGAAAAATAGTTGAAAATTAGGGATTATACATGACTCCGTGTATTTAAGAATCTTAATAATCTTAATTGTATTAGGATCAAAAGATAGATTTTAGACACAAGGCGATTACTTACATGAAATTATATCATGAATATTCTCTTTACATTTATCATAATGATGGTGTCAAACACTCTGTTGATAACCAACACATCATATTTACAGACGTAGACATTTTAGTTATGAAATTTTATATAGTTACAAACCATTCGAGCGAATCGTTGATCACTAAGAGAGTTGGTGATAGTTCCTATAAACACAGTATACTTTGTTCGCACACAGAACAGCTCCAGCGCAATCACTGCCAGCACAAATTGCTGAAATTATGAAATAGCAGTATAACAGAATATTGTTACCTTATTTTGACTCTTTTTGTATATTATTCAAAGTGCAACCACCAGAGCTTGGAATGATATCTAAATCAGGCATGTAAACTTAATTTTAAGTTTTGTCCCTAAAACACAATTTTTAACCATTAAGTTGAATGATAAAGATTGTATGTTGATGTTAAGATTGTATTTTAGTATACTTACAATTCCTGACAATACTATAGCAGGTATATAATAATCTATTACATCATCTCCGTCGGAACCCGTGGAGAACTCTATACCGAGAGCAAATAATGCTGCACATACTACACTCAGTAGAAAATGATAAATGGCTAGCTTGTAATACTCTTCGCATAAAGAATGGCTGAAATCAAGGCAAAACTTTCATGAATTGATTAAATACCAATGAAAAGTGAGATCTACTTGATTAGGGAAAGCTATTGCAGTTCTTTCTTTATATGTTCAAAATCAATTAATCAACACATGATTGCAGAAAGAAATGCACTGTTTATTTAAATAAAGACTAAAACATTTGAGATAATTCGTTTCTATCGGTGTTTTAAATTGACAGTAATCATTTGTAGGTTTAAGATTTGTGAAAACAGTCGATGGACGATAAGCCAACAGAAGTAAAGAAATATAATCTAGTATAATCATATATTCAAGGAGAATAATTTACTTAACATTTAGGGAGGTAATATACACACAATTAGCAATCCATTAAGAACACGGTTGGTTCGTATTTAGGGAGAACACCCTTATTGTTCAATGCAAATCGCGTTGATGGTATTAGGTAAATACATTGGTTACATTTTGTTACTGTTAAAATGTTCACTTGCATAAATTGAGAAATACAAGTTCAAATTGCAATACATGTAATATTTATTAAAAGTAATACATCGAGCACTAAAATACATTGAGCAATGAAATGCATTGAGTACTGAACATTGAACACTAGAATACATGGAGCACTGGAATCACACTAGGCACTAGAATACACCGAGCACTTAAATACACCGAACACAGGAAAACACTAAATATTCTATCCAAAATTGAAACAAATAAATATCATTTATGTAAATGAGGTTTTTTTTTAATACTTACAATGGTTTGCAGTTCATTGGCATTATGTTGAAATCCTTAAAGAATATTTAATCGTAAAGTATTTATAACAAAATTATTGTGACTACAATAAGGCAATGTAAAATGAATGATTTAAAATTTCTTAGTTACAAACCGACATAAGTAAACCACCAAATTACTTACCACTGTATAGAGTAACATAATAAGGATTAGGCTTAGTTCGATAGGATATGTATAAATGTTTTTCATTCAGGTTGGTCTACATTCTCTCAAGTTTTGAAATATATATAATATAGATAATTATGTAAGTCATTAAAGCTTTCAGTGTAAGACATTAAGGGACCAAGATACGGAAAAAGAGATGCAGCTATCGGCAACCAGAACTTATAAAACATTTTGCTCTACAACCAGAACTTATAAAACATTTTGCTCTACATGTACAATGGATTTGCCTTGTTTTGAATTTAAAACTTGATGAATTTCAAAATCAAAATACAAGAATTGAGCTACCTACAGTATATAAATTCTGATCAGATTTCCCGGGTGTTCAGGCCAGCTTGGCTACATACTGGCAGGCCAGATTGGCTACATACTGGTGTCAAAGTTTTTAGAGTTTGAAAACACTGGAACGATCACTTTGATATTTTCCTGTATTTACATGTATTCTTAATTTAAAAAAACCCAGAATTGGACCTACAACCTTTAATTATACTCTTTATTAATGCATAATTATTCTGTTTATTGTTGGTGGATTTTCAGTCAACACAAAAGGATACTAGTTACAAGAGCACTGACTCCTAGAAATCTGTTTTTATAGATATAATCAATATAAACACATGTAGCATGCGCAATTAGTTTGTACAGATTTTTTTTTAAATATTGAAACAGGTATTTTTTTTCAAGGGAGAGAAATATCGTTAAACTATTGGAACTGGAAGTCTTTGAAACTGACACATTTTAGGTGAAGTACAAATGTACCTTTAAATGAAAATCAATTCTTCTTCGATTGCCCACCCTCAACATTTTAATGGACAAGTGAAATTGATTTACTCATGTGAATAGAATCGTTAGCGATAAGTAGGTGGTTAGACATACAGACGTATTGTAAATTGGTAGTGGAAAAATTTATATCTTTAAATAATAGAACAAGTGGTAGAATTTCAGTGGTTCGGACAAGTTCAAGTTCCGGGTGGATTACTTTATCGATAACCGATATTTAATTTAACGTTCCAATAGGTCTTAAACAGGGACGTTCTTAAATCACATACGTGTTTGAATATAAAAGTCTAAATATATTTTCAAATGTCACTTAACGGGTAATAGTCAATAGAGATTTAAAGTGTAGTATGAGAAAACCTTGAATATATTTAATCTTCAACATGTATTTATATAGTCCATAAAAGAGAGTGTAGGGCAGTGTTTATACATGTTTACATTGGATATAACCCGAGAAAATTACTACTGATCACGATATTATTTAACTATTGAAAATGATATAGCAAGTAAAAGTATATAAGAACTGAATATTGGCATGGAATGACTCATAATACAATGATACTAAAGACTAAAGTAGAGAATTTGGGATATCTTTAAGAGCGAGCATGATAAATATTACAGGTAACTAAATTTTGTTCTTTTGTTTTTGTTTATTAGAGTAAAGTTGATGCTAATTATTGATTTCTATGACATTCATTAACACTGTGTGGTGATGCCATACAACAGTAACCTATATAAACAAAGCGTTAAACGCTACTCAATATCAAGTTCTATCATATTTAAAACAGGAATAAACTGAAAATAATGATATTGTACATTTTTGTTTTAGACTTATTTTTTGTTTATTCAAGAATGATTGGTTGTAAGGTAACATGCGGATGTTAAAGTTTTAAAAAGGAAGCTAAAAATGTAAACATGTATTTACGACTAGCGCCAGATCTCCTGCATGGTTATTAACAAGACGCACCGTGTTTGAACGTTTTGAGAAGAGATTTCGTACTTTTGATTGACAAGCAATCTTTCACTATGAACCTAACTTTATTTTACAATATTTTCAGGTTCCTTTTACCGTTTGGTAAATGACTCAAGCAGATTTTTCCGAAATGCACAGTATTATCATATTGTTATTGCGGTATGTATGTTAGGGACAGGGGTGACATCTATAATTCTCTCTAACGGATCTAACGGAGACGCAAAAGTGCCTTATTTCTTTAGTGCTTTTATTGCCGGAGCATGGGTAAGCATATAACATTTCTTACTGAATTAACATAATGTGTGTTACATTTATATACGTTTTAATGCGTGAACAAGTCTATTTTAGCTGGCTTGAAACAGTATAGTAGTTTGGTACATATATACATGTATATTACATATGTTTTGAAAGAAATAATTTATATTTTTTATCACAAATTACGCAAGGACTTGACTTGATGTGCGTTTCTGATGCAATTTCCCTTTTATAACTTCTTTTTTACGTCAAAGACAATCCGAAGAAGAAGGGTTTTTATTGCATGAATAAACGAATGTATATTTAATGCACTCATTGTTGCAGGGTTGTATTTTCATTATTGGCATGTAATAAATAAATATCGCCGAATACTCGAGAAACATACCCTTATCAAAAGTTTGTATGATAAAAAGTTTGTATGATTAATTTTAACCAGCTGTATATATATATGAACTGTATTTTCAGCATATTGTTTCGGCTGTGGTGTGCCAGGTGTGTATATATTACCTGTCAGGTGAGAGAAGTGGAGTCAGCACAGCTACTGTTTCGGTATGTCATTTTTAGAAAAGATTTAAATAAAGCGAAAGTGTATGACTACAATGTACATGTACTTTATAACAAGCCATTTGCTAATTATTCCATTATTTAATTGTTATCATAACTAACTGTATGATCAACTATGTTGTGTTGTTAGATTGATTTGTTATTTCTCTCTCTTTAATGTCTTATACATAAAGATACCCTTAAACATGTGCTATGGAACGCCGTATCTCTCTTTTTGGACGTCCTCTACAGTATGTTTTATTGTCTACTTAAATGATCATGTTATTTTGTGACTTGTGTATCATAATTGGCGTCCGCGCCGAAGCGCGGCGCTCTTATGGAATGAGATCAGATTTTGTGAAAGGGCGACAGCAACTTCTCGAGCCTTTTAGTCGGTCATAATAAAAGCCGAAAATTCCGATCGGTATGAGGGTGCTTGATTATTAAATAAGAATGAAATGTCGCGATATGTTACAATGAATTTTCGCAATCTGGGGCGTACCTTGGCTTATTTTAAGTATACGCCGAGTTCAGGTCTTTGGTCGAGACTTATATCAAAGATAGCTCTTTGCTATTACCAGGGATTGTACTACTTAAAAATTGTCTTTATCTATAGTTATGAAAGTAACATCAAGTACATGTATTGAATGTAAGAGAAATTGCACAGTCTAGCTTATACACTGGCTTAAATGATTCATAAAAAAGTTATTTACGACCGTGTATCAGAAAAAACTAAACATAGCCAGGTGTCTCTATTGTTATAAAGATGGGTATAAGAAGTTTTTTCCTTGTTATTTTTCTTATGTTTCACCATACCGAAACATGAGATATAATCAAGGAAAATATTATTTAAAATGATCTGTATAACGATAATACAAGCACAATAGCTTAAATGTTTTAGTGTAACAATAAAGTATCGTGTTCACAGCTAAATTGTAGTATCGCGTGATCATTTAAGTCCTTTAAAAGTACATTGTATTTCCAAATGCGCATTATGTCAATGTTAAAGAAAATAATTTTTATCTTTAACAGTGTTTTCTCAACTATTTTGTTTCAATTTTCATCCGAAATGTTTAAATTAGTTCAGTACATTGTAAAATGACTAACGCACATAAAAGCATGTTGGTATATAATCAGAAGTAGGTGAAAATAAAAGAATCTGGACTTGACGTGTCTACGGAGCCCCTAAGGTGACATTTTCCACACTTTTTTCCCCGGAATTTAATTCGTTTTTACGAAATAATAATTCGTAATTACGAAATAATAATTCGTTTTTACGAAATATTAATTCGTTTTTACGAAATATTAATTCGTTTTTACGAAATATTAATTCGTTTTTACGAAATATTATTTCGTTTTTACGAAATATTAATTCGTTTTTACGAAATATTAATTCGTTTTTACGAAATATTATTTCGTATTTACGAAATATTATTTCGTAATTACGAAATATTAATTCGTTATTACGAAATATTAATTCGTTTTTACGAAATATTATTTCGTAATTACGAAATATTATTTCGTAATTACGAAATATTATTTCGTAATTACGAAATATTAATTCGTAAAAACGAAATGTTATTTCGTAATAACGAAATAATAATTCGTAAATACGAAATAATATTTCGTAAAAACGAATTAAATTTTTTCTAGCGTTTCAAAGAGTTTTGGTAATAGTTATAAATAAGGCCTCAAAACTAAGTTCCTGACTTAATATAAGGCATGTACATGCAATATAAATAGTGATTTTTGTTCTCCCCAAGTTTTTTTAACTTTACACTATTGTACATAAATTAAAATATTCGCATGTCAATAGCGTTGAGTCACAGCCGTGATAGTACACGCGCTAGGAAAATTTACTTAAAATGGGGGTCCTGTGCTTTAAATCCAAACACGGACATTTCTAATACTAAATTGTGAGGAAATATTCATTTTAAATTGATTAGATTAGTGAAATCTGGACCAACCCCCTCCTCGTCCCATAAGTTTTACTTATGTATATGATAAAAGAACGGAATAATATAGCATGTTTCTGTTTTAAAGATACATGTCGTAAAAGATTGCCTCAAACATTAAAACATTGCTGATAGGAACATGTATTTGACAATGGGGAAAAAAGACCATTTTGGATAGAGAATGACTTCTCACTCAAAAACCCTGTTCACTTAAATATAATAACTTGAGAACCATTCGGCTTATAATCGCAAAGTTGATCAAGGCATGTAAATGACCCATTTGTGAGATTAATAGGTTCATTATCAAGCTCAAAATGACCTTAAGTAAGATTTCGTAAAAACGAATTGATATTTCGTAATTACGAAATAACATTTCGTTTTAACGAATTAATATTTCGTTTTTACGAATTAATATTTCGTAATAACGAAATAATATTTCGTAATTACGAAATAACATTTCGTAAAAACGAATTAATATTTCGTAAATACGAATTAATATTTCGTAAAAACGAATTGATATTTCGTAATTACGAAATAACATTTCGTTTTTACGAATTAATATTTCGTAATAACGAAATAATATTTCGTAATTACGAAATAACATTTCGTAAAAACGAATTAATATTTCGTAAATACGAATTAATATTTCGTAAAAACGAATTGATATTTCGTAATTACGAAATAACATTTCGTTTTTACGAATTAATATTTCGTAATTACGAAATAATATTTCGTAAAAACGAATTAATATTTCGTAAAAACGAATTGATATTTCGTAATTACGAATTAATATTTCGTAAAAACGAATTAAATGCCGGGGGAAAAGTGTCGAGAATGTCACCTTAGGGGCTCCGTACGTGTCTTATTATCTCTTATATAGGTATAGTATATTTATCTATGTTTTATTTATGTATAGATGAGACTATATATATCATTGTTTACAGAAGGTTGCAATTTATTTCTATAGTCAATAAAATAAGACGGTAGAAACAACTTTATATATTGATATTTTTGTAGGTCAAATACTTTTTTGTAAATATAAGTTGACTATGGTTTGGGACGATAGATGTGGGCAATGGTTTTGAATAAAATTGATATAAGATGAAAGAATGTTACTAACTTAGAAATATATAATAACTTATAACTATAAGGTAAAATATTAAAAAAAGAATTACATATGGTCAACTCATTTCCATTGTGCTACAGATGTCAAGTGGCAGACAGGACTTAATTTTGCATATAAATGTAAAATAATGAATTCTAACACGACCCGCATTTTTCCCTATTGAACATAGAAGAACCGAAAGTGTGTGTTATTATGCTATAAAATCACTGTTTGACGTTCTATATTTAGACATGTGACGTAATCATTATACACGTGACGTAACCACTAAAAATGTGACGCGGTGACAATAAGTACGGACACAAATCAGGCGCAATTTAGCTAATTATCATGTACGGGCAGCATTTATTTGTTGATGTCGTGTTAGAATCGACATAATATATCCAAATCGGTGATTTTATTGCTTGATAACATCACTGTTTGTCGTTCGGATGCGCATCATTATATCACTCGGGCTACGCCCTCGTGATATAATTCCCCGCATCCGAACTCCAAACAGTGATGTTATTGAGCAATAAAATCACAGTTTGGGATATATTATTTCTTAAATAAATGTTCAGTTTTCATTGATTTTGATTCTGCTGGAAAGATGATTGTAAATTAATTTGACTTTTTATTATCATTATTTGGGTAAATTTGCATTATAACATTGATTATTTTAATAACTCAATCTGCAGAGAGAGAAATTCCAAAGAAATTATTCATATCATATTTTTTTACATTGTGTACGTCATTCCGTGGTTTTGAAGAAAGGCCGAACACTTTTGTTTTCGGAGTCCTTAATAGAATCCGCATACAGTATGATGGTATAAATTAAAATCTTAAGATAATTTAAACGATACCTCCATAAAAACTTTTATTACAGGGATTCCAGACTGAAACAACGATAGATCAATTCTCACTAAAATTGTGTATACATATTATCAAAATAGGTAACACATATTTGAATTAGGAAACATCCTCAGCATACCTAAAAAATCAATTAGGAGCTACAAATATGTTTATTGATCTATTAGTGCTGCAAATAGACTCAAATAACTCGCTTATTTAGGGGAGTAACTGGTCCCCGATCATAAACAGGGGGTTTCATATACCAAAATGTTCGGTTGGGTCCCTAGATTACGAAATAGGATTTCATTTTTGCCATAAGTGCTAGCGGACTAAGAAATCCAAGATGGCGTCCAAGATGGCCGCCAAAATATGAAAATAATCATTTATTATTTATTACTTAAATTTGCAAGCATTAACTTTTAAAAAAAGTTTTTTTTTAAACATTTTGGTATTGAATATATTTATTAAATTTAGTTTTAGTATCTATTAATAATGTTAGTAGAATTTTTATGATAAAAACCGATAATTAAGGCTAAATATTTCTAAAAATTGCTGTTTTTTTTAAATATGTGCTTTACATTTTCTATTTTTTTCTTGCAATTCAATAATGATTTGTTTCCTTATGACTGATTTACAGGAAACAATTTTTTTACAAACAAAATGTGCCAATAAAAGTTATCATTTTAGTATAATTTTTAAAATAATGTGTTTTTTAGTGGGTGGGGTAAAATGGTAATTTTATTAAAATTTTAAAATTCTTCAGATTACTTTATATTTACTGTCTAAAAGACTTGAATCTACTCCTTATTACATATTTCAGAGTCATTGCTCAATGGACAATGCCCTAGTTGAGAAATAAGAGGAAATACATGTTTTTTTTTTTTCAATTTAAAACCTGTGACTTAATGTTTTAACAGCCAATTTTTGCACTTTCTTTCTTTTCCCTCAAAATATTTTATACATATAAATTCTTTCTGGCATATTTTATCAGTAAATAAAACATTGAGAATTTGTTTTTCTTTCCAAAACGTGATCTACTTTAATTGTCATTTAAGTATGTAACTGAGTGGATGGGGGTACATAGCAAATGTATTTAATACTGTTGGGAATTTGCAATATTTAAAGATAAACAAAATTTAAAGAAATTAATGTTTGAAATTTCATTGCATCATTTTATCAAATATGTTTCAAAATGCAGTTATATTGTCACTTGTATGAAATCAGTATTTTCCATGTAAAATAGGAAAACAAGAGGGCCTGATGGTCCTGGCTCCCTCACCTGATACATTCTGCCAGAAAAGGTCAAAATTTTCCAATGTTAGAAAGATATGTGTAAAAGTTCATGAAGAAGGGAAAAGAAATAAGGAACGTGTAAACATATTTGCTGTTTAAATTTTAAGCATTTTAAAATTGAAATTATACTTATATTCTCATATTTCACAATTAGTGCATTGTCTATACAGCAATGACTCTGAAATTTAAGATAAATAGATGTAAGTCTTTTCAGTTGTCAAAAAAAGGTTATATTAGGATACTTGCAGTATTTTGAAATTTAAATAAATTAATCATTCCCCATACCCCACTTAAAAATACACACTATCCCAAAAATGTAATTAAATGACAATTTTTAATGTTAGATTTTGAATTTAACAAGAGCCACCGCCAAAATTTAATACTTTGACCATGATGGTCAAGGTCATTTAAAGGTTAAAGTAAGTTCAACCTTTTAGAAGGTCTTGTCCAAGAGGTTGTTTTGTCCAAGTATGAAATAATCCATTGATTAATTACCAAGTTACAGCCAATTATTTGATAATCTGTTAATATTCAATAAATTTTCTTCAAGGTCAAGGTCATTCATGAGTTAAAGTAAATTTTAATTTAATATACATAAAGGTCCTGACCTAAAATGTCTGAAAATAAAGGTTATCAATTTATAAATAACAAAGTTATAGCCAGTTACAAAACCAAAAATGAAACAAGAGAATTTCATTTATTTGACATTAACAGTCATGTTCAACTTAAGGTCAAGGCAAAATCTTAATTATTAAATATATATATTGGTAACAAGTTGTGTATAAATGAAATCAGTACATAAATAACAAAATTATGACAATTAAAAAATTTTACTTTCACAGTCAAGATTATTTAAAGTTCAAGTTCAAAGTCAGTTCCACCTTTTATTTCATTTAATTACAGTTTTTTGGGATAGTGTGTTTTGTCCAAAGTGTTGTTTTGTCAATGTATGAAGATAATCCATAAATTAATTACCATGATACAGCCAATTGTAGCAAATATCAGTGGAAATTCAATTATTTTACCTTCAAGGTCAATGTCATAAAAAGCCAAGGTCAATTTAAATTTATACATGAAAGTCATATCCTAAAGAATGTTGTGTTATAATATGAAGTGAATTCATTTATCACTAACAAAGTTATAGCCAGTTACAGCCCCCCGACACACACACAAAATAAATAAATAAAAATAAATTTTCTATAATTTGACCTTCAAGGTCAATGTTATTTATGAGTGAAGATCAATGTCTGTCTGGTTAACTCGAAGGTCTATCCTAAAAATATTATTATGTTCAAGTTTGAAGACAATCCATTAGAAAATAACAAAGTTATCTAATAGCAAAAATCAGAAAAAAAAATAAGCAAAATTTAGACATTTGACCTTGGAGGTCAAGGTCATTTATGAATGAAGGTCAAATTTAGTCTTGTCTACTTAAAGATCTTGCCCCAAGGTTGTTGTGGCCAAGTATGAAGACAAAGCATAAAGAAGATTAAAAGTAATGATCACAGTTAAAGTTTGCTGACGGAAGCGTCAACACCGACATGACTGTAACAATACCTCTATTCTTTTAATTATTTTTTTTTATTTTATCTATTTTTTATTATATCGTTTTTAAAAGTCGAGCTTAACATGTTGTTTTCTTTAAAATCAGGCATTATAATTAATTTTTTATTAAAAAGATGAAAAAATAAGAAATTGTATCAAGTATTTTTAAAATCACATTTTTTTCCGTATATTTTTCGTAATTATTTTTTGTTTTTATCATCAAAAAATATAATTACCTTAAAACACATATTAAAACTGCATTTAAGGAACACAATTAATACAAGAATGAAAAGAAAGAACTTATTGCTAAGTTTTAACTGCCAAAATTCAAGTAATATAAAGTAAATTATAATTTTCATATTTGTGGCGGCCATCTTGGACGCCATCTTGAATTTGTTAGTCCGCCAGCACTTTCGGGGAAAATGAAATTCAATTTCGTAATCTAGGGACTCAACCGAACATTTTGGTATATGAAACCCTCTGTTTATGATCGGGGACCAGTTAGGTGTTCCTAAGCTTAACGAATTTGCAGCACTATATGCCCGATTTGAAATTTTCATTTTTTTTCTTTTCATACGCCCGTGCGTATTTGGCGTATCGGTAGGTACGCCACTGGCAATGCAAACATTTACAAATGAAATAACCTTTTCCGTCAATAAATCGCGCTCTTCGGGGTTTTTTATTTATCATTTTGTAGTACACAGTCGGTTATCATGTCATGGTATGTTATTGTTGTACATGTATCCTAGAATGATCAGTTGATGACCTAAATATTCCAAAAACCTATTTATAGATATATCTTTTTATCACTCCTATCGGTAAATGCCGGTCTCTCCCGGTCTATTTTGACCAGGATTTACTAGTGACCGGCGAATAGTACCACACGTTTATTGTCCGGTCTCTCCCGATTTTGGAGTAGATGTTTGATATCGTTACAATTGGAAAAAAACAACAATAGCATGTTTCATTTTATCTATATGAGATAAAAACAATAAATATGTACACGGATTTATATGTAATATAAATCCGTGATATGTACAATAATTGAGAAAAAGGTACATTTTTTATGGTATTAAAATGACATTATCAACTTTGAAACATTTTATTTAATTATTCAATTTGTTATCCGTGTTTTAGTAAAGATGCCGAGGAATTATTCAAAGTTACAAATTAGATTTTATGAATTATTCAATTGATCGATAATTTAAAAAATGATAAAGAAAAATACAATGTACATGTACATGGTTTAAGAATAAACAATATTATATATTGAAAGATAAACCATAATTTACTGACTTTTTCCAGTTAAGCTTTTACTTATAATCGTCGGTCAATATGACAATTGAATTCTTAAAATTTATTTTACAATTTTAATAAAAAAGAGTAGTAAAAACTCAGTATTAAAATAGCACATAAAACACAAAAAGAATAAAAGAAAACAATATTCATAAAATTTGTATTTTTTTTAAATTAAAATTAATAGATATTACAATTATTGTATAATAAACAATTATGCTCAACGTGATCAACATGGTAATATAACCAGTGTCATATTTTTACTAACTTAAAGTGTGAACAGATACCTTAAGGGGGTCTTCGCTAATAGCGATAACATGTACATAATAAGGGACAAATGTGTGGTACGTGTTGATCATGCGTTACACATATGGATTATAAATGATTGCATACATGTATATCCGTTGCTATTAATAACCACGATCATAAAGAAATAACAAGTAATATTCTAATCTCTAGCATGCCAATCAAAGTTCATAATGAACAATGTCTTTCGTCCGCTCATTCATAAGTGGTATACATTTCTGGTAGTTTATAAGAATATCTTGTCATCATATGTGTACTAGTTCATCTTCACTTGCTGCATTTCTTGCTTGGACGCCCTTTGATGCTTTGCATCAATGCTTTTCTTGTTATATAATTATTATAACGTTCGTGCAATCTTGACGAAAAAAAATCATGCTATTTATCGTTATCTCTTAAATATCAATAGACAGATTACGGTTTTCCATAGTTTGCATATTAAGGTTTAGAGTACCATAAAAGAATTTTAAAAAACTCGAATTTAGCTTTGCTATTGTCCGTCTGATACTTCTCTTTACTATGCACCACCTAACCTATATACAGGACAGGTACACGTACTACCAGAGCCATGTGTCCTAACTGAGAATTTCCCAAGGCTTAAAATGTATTCACAATTAAACTATTGGCCTAAAATTTTATTTATTCTCTAGTGATTACCTTCTTTAAAGATCTGCAAAGTTTAACTGTTTGTCAAAGTTATATGGCTTTAAAACAGGCAGTTCACATCAAAATTATCCCCTTTATTGAACATGTTAATATTTCATGAGACTTCAGTTTAATTTAATTAAGATGACTGATTAGTTTTCATGTTAATTTTACAGGTACGTATCTACTCCATTTTATGCTCCGTGTTCGTTCTATTCAACGTAATGGGTGTGGTGTTCACTGTGGTCAATGGATTGTGCATCGAGAGCCAGATGTGTTACTATGACAAAAATCACGTGTCAAACAGAATCATGGCGATTCTACTTATTTTAGAACATTGTGTATCAACTTTAGCAACTATTATTCTTGCAAAGAGATCTCACTTAATAGAATCAGAACTAGCAGCAGATGCATCAATTAAACTCAATACCCACTTTAGTTTTAGTATCCGTACCACAAAAAAATCTTTGCAACAATCGGACAGTTCTCGCAGTCAGCAAACAACACCAGAAAATCAGACAGAATCCGGTCTATCCGAGGTACAAAATAAAGGAGGACATGTTTTAACAACCATTGAAATATCAGCAATGGCACACAGGAAGACGCACAGACGGTCAAAATCACAACCAATCAATCTTAAGCAGCTTGGTATAAAACCGATAGAAATTGAAGGACAAGTATTTTCTATATACTCTGATTCAGAATCAAAAGACAACCAAAAAAGTCGCAAGAAAAAGAAGCGTTTCATTTCACCAGGTAAAACAAACCGTGTCAAAGCAAGTATTGAATTAAAAACAGATAAAAGAATACGATCAAAATCTGTTGGAGATGATCTTGATCACTCTTTCTCAGGAGATGAAAGTCTTTCAAGTTTTGGAACTAGAATGTCAGTAGAAGATCGGAAGCAGCTATTAGGTCAAATGGAAAAAATCCGTCGGACTACAGTTCCGCTTCCGGTTGATCAAAATGAAGCAGACGACATATTTTATGTGAAACCTGTCCATGAAACTGAGGACGTCGAAAATAAGCAGCAAATATTGTTGAAAGAACAGCAAAAACTTCAAAGAAAACAGCAGAAATTACAACAAGAACAAGCAAAACTTTTTGAAAAACAAAGAAAATTGTTTCAAGTCCAACAGGAACAAGACAAACCATACACATATATGGAGCCCCCTCCGTACGATGCGTTGGAGAGTGAAGCCAATGGTAGAACAATTCTTAATTTAGAAGCAGATGGAAATATGGATAGTCCGCGCGAGAGTGAAGCCAATGGTAGAACAGTTCTTAATTTAGAAGCAGATGGAAATATGGATAGTCCGCGCGATATATCGCTGTGATAGCAATGTAATTGTAATCTATTACATGGCAATTTATTTATTCTATAAATATTTAATATAAATTCATTATTTTATTAATACATGTATTTAATATAAATCAACACTCCCAATTTATCAGGCTTCCATTTGTCATTGTTTCTTCCCTCTACTTAAGAGATATCTTTATGAAGGTATATACACCTGCTTTATGTAATACTCATTGATTTCATGTTTTCATTTATATATAACTATACTCATTTCTGTTTATTCTGTCATCAAGAAATGTAAGCAAGATCTTTATATATGTATGTGCAATATGGAGCCGAAATAAAACACTTCTGTGCAATGTTTGTGGCACTGATAATGCAATTACACTGAGATATTTGATGAAATTTCACAATTTTCTTTTTTTCCACAAATTTCAATAGAGTACATTTCATTATATGATCGTTTCCTTGGTCACCGTAAGAGATCAGCATTGCTATAAGCTACTAATACTACATCTATCGACTAATACACTTTGATAGAAAACCCTGGAATGATTGAATTAAATGATTAATAAACGAACGCACACTTATTTAGTTGTTTCTCCCCAAGTGTTGTTGGGACATAAACAAGTAGATTTAACTATTCATGAAAGCATATACACCAGACTGGAGCTTAACTCAAGTAGTTACAGACGAAAATGTGTAACCTAGATTTATGGCCATACAGATAAATAACAAAACTTCTTAAAGTAGTTAGAAATTAGAATTTTTCTATCCGAATTATTTAAAAATTGACTTTGTTTAACTGATCGGCTATAATGTTAAGTAGCAACCTTTGTTTCTAATAAACAAACACATAACGTCAACCAAGATTTTTCCAGGGACACAGTATTCGTCATTTTATTTGCACATATTGCATATTTCACTAGAATTGGATATTGTATTGGATTTAACAGTTTCGATTGATCATCAGATCAATATACTTTTGCTGAATCATACTTCCTGTTCATCTCTTATCTCGTTATTTTGAATCTAAAAACGATTGATTTTCATGTTGTTGAAGCTAAAATAAACACTTCAGTCTACGTACATGTACTTCTCATTTGTTTTATAGAACACAGTCTGTCAGCTGGCTTTTGAAAGTAAATATAAGAATAGCAATAAATTCTATAACATAGGATTTCGCTATATATCTACGGACTTTAAATTGCACCCATGACAAAACCGACAAGTTTCAACTTTAATTTTGCTTAAATTATGGTAACTTTGCTATTTTTAATTCATACTTGTGTGACATAACTGAATGTTATAACCTAAACTTTGACGTAAAGTTATTGAAATTCGCTTAAATTCGTTTGCCTTTAATTGACATATTTCAATCATACAAAAAACATCACTTAGGACAACATCAGCATGTTAAATTATTTAAGCATTGCCTTGACTATTAAATTTGCTTAATGTTGCCATGTCTTTGTCATTAATATACAAGCCTCAGACAATAAGTACCTCTGGCCGCGTGGACTCAAATTCCGCCAGGGACAAGTCCTTGTTCCATAAGAAAACCAAAACTGAACAACGTACACTCATTGGATGGTCCCAGAAACGGATTTGATGATGTTTCAACACAATTGAACTAAAATAAATTCAAAAACTAAACTAAAACACTTGTGAAACAAGTGACCCGAGGGCTATTTCATTTTTACACTAGAGACATTAAAATATTTGCTGCTTGCACTCTTAGGTCGACATATCAGCGTTTATTTTATCATATCTATTAATTCGATAAAAAGGTTATGATAATAGTATGAATGATTTTGATTTGTGTATCTGACTTTGTTTTATTCGAATTTAATTTAATGTTTTTTCAATAAATTGCTTATCACTCCACAGTAGAAACACGGATTTAAATTACATTAAAGTCCGTGGTAGAAAGAAGTTTAAAATCAAGTCTTGACTTTTGAAATTGGTGTTAACTTTTAACCTAACTAAAATACATTTGTAACTGAATAAAATAACGTTACTAATTTCAATTGTTTTCTCACTATTATACGCAATAACTATTTCACAGTGCAGTAAACATGGTATTTCTGTCTGTTTCAGTTCATTAATGGTATTCTAAAAACTAGAACATTTTCCATTACATGATAATAATATTATAGAAGGAAACTATTAATATACATTTCATTAGAAAAACCAGTCAACTAAAAACAAATCGGTTCACGTTTCATTACTTATTTTCTTAAAGGCTATATATCATAATGATTTGTTACATAGACATTTAAAAATTACTGCCCTTTACAAACTGTTCATTCTAAAATATGTGTTCTTGTACACAAGACATCCATTCTGCTGATGAACATCAATTTGACACAATGCCAGATGATGCTTCCTTGGTCATTAGTTTACATAAACAATGGTATATAAGTTTTAATAAATGGTAGTAAATGTGGCATTTTATAAAAAAAAAAATGTTTAATAAAGTTAACTGAAGGTGTCCCGATGTCCTAAAAAGATTACGATTTTTAAATCTCGGTGCAAAGTAATATCAAATT